ATTTTAATGAGTATTTATAAATTTAAATATATCATTATATCTCTTAATCAGAATTTAATATTCTGATTTAAAAATTTTAAAAAAATTTAATCTTTATAACATAAATTTAATTATTTTCAAAATTTTGAAAGAAAGTGCTGGCAGAAAGTGAGAGCAGAAAATGAGGACAAAAATGCGGGCAGTGTTTATGTAATTTTGATGAAAATTTCATATGTAATATTGCGAGCGTAAACTTGCGGGCAGTAATTTTGCGGGCTAAGTCGACATAGCCTTCAAAATATTCTAAACCCCTATAAAAAGTACACAAAAAGTTATAATAATCTCAACCATAGCTCGCATTGTATCACAAATTCATAAAAGATTCAAAACTATTAAAATAAATACAATTAAAAACACATTCATTTGAATAGTTTTCGCTGAACTACACCAATGGGTGATCACTGAAGACATGGTACGGTTCCAGAGGGTTAGGGCCCTGTCCCCGCACCTGCCTATCAGAGCCTTATATAAGCACTCTTTAAACGCAATCAACGGATCGCACGAATCGGTTCCCACTTCTAGACGAAACATCTTCGGTATAACTGCTGGCCATCGATGGTCTACATTATGATCATCGCATCGGATTCGCACTCTCTTTCGCGTGTCTTCAATACAAAATCCGTTTTGAATCAAATCGTTGACACCATTGCTATCATTGGCACACAATTCATGTTTAATAGCACTCATGGTGTCGATGACTCGCTTGAGATCTAAGTATTTATCATTTGACTCACATTTCGGGAGATATTTTTCGTAACACTGGATCAGTTGAGTCATTTGCTGGCAGATCTCCCGGCGCTCCCTATGACCCATCACGGGATACCCGCCCCTCGTTTGCTCCTCATTAGTCTTCTCTATGAGGTCCTGAATGGTAGAGAAATCCCTTTCCAGATATGTGTGAAGACATGTCTGCAAAGCCTTGTCATTACGATCGCAACATTGAACCAGTGATACAATTATAGTACAAATAATTATTATGGGTGTAATTGTGGGAAACATTGGTTTTATGAGTCAATAGCTATTGTGATCAGCATTTGTGGACACAGTTCTGAATCAATAGATAACAGTATTTGACAGTTGTTTCAATACTAGTCAAAAGTTTTTGTATTCAAAACTAATATACAATCTATTCATTAGTATATATCACGAGATTTTTGTTTTGTTTTATAATCAATAGTATTCAATACAATCAATCATTACTACTTTGGACCAAAATTTTTATATCCCCTTTCCCACCACCAGTTCCACATTCAGAAACCACTGAACAAAATACAGTGGTTTTACTCACATTTGTATTGGTTTTCAAAGAATAGACATATTCTGTGGGAAAGGAATTCACAATAAAATCAAATATAAGCGTAAAATATATGTAAAATAAATATTAATAAGAATCGATAAAAATAACATGAATTTAAAACATCACTGATAAGTTCAATATTGGCAATAAATTATAAAATATACCCGAGACAATAATTGATTATAAATTCAATATGGTTAAATTAAAATTGGTTGATTTTTAAAACTAATAATTATTTGATTGACAGAGTATTGCAATAAAATTATATCATTGATGATACTGTATATTATACACTGTATACACTATAATATACAGTGTATAACGTATTTCTTAAACATTTCCATGTGAATGGTCAAAATGAAACCGTTTGTAGGAATCCATTATATTATAGTTAACTTAATATTATGTAATCTTAACATTGAATACACTTATATATACTTATATATGTATTTTTAAACATAAAACAATAAAATATATTTCAAACCCCATAGCAATCGACGGATTGTTTGTAAAAGTAGGCGATTATCATAATTATGGCAAATATGGTATTAATGGACGAGATTGTGGTCTAATGTCTGCGCCCATAGTTTTCGACATAACATCCCCTCAGAAATGCTTTCAAAACACTCTCACAAATGCCAACCAAAGTGTCGATGTTTTACTTGAAAGGCTTCTCATACCAGATACAGATGTCATACAAAACAGGATAATAGAGGGAGAGGTGGCTGAGGACTGGGAGGCTCCATGGGCTGTGTATTTAAATTATTACAAACTGATTAACCAGGGTAATACCGTTAAACGGAGTTCGGCCGGAATTTGCAACGGAGTCCTAATCGCAATGGATTGGGTGTTAACAGCAGCCCATTGTATCAAAAAGTAGGCCTACTTTTACATACATAGAGAATATAAGAAAAGTAAAATTATTAACTATTTTGTTACAAAACAGTGTTTCAAATCTTGAGATAAAATCGGGATATAAGCGCCTGGAGCCAATTGAGACGAGGACAGTTAGCAATCATAGCACACATCCGCGCTATGGAAAGGGCTTTTACTGGCACGACATCGGTTTGATTCAAGTGGACAGCCCTTTCAACCCATATAATACCGATAGAGACAGACGTTTTAGGGTAAGTACGATATGTCTGCCCGATTTGGGCAGGGATTACACGGATGGAGAAAGTGGTACTCTATTTGGTTTCGGAGTTATAACTGATAATAAAGATTTACAACAAAAGCTATACTACAAAAGGGACAGTTCGCCCTCTGGAAACAAAAGGCAAATATAGGTGACTGTATAACCAAGAAATCTGCGGGGATCTGTATGTCACCCCATTATGGTAGTAATACCCGTCCCTGTGTTGTGAGTTAACTGATAAATAGCAATATAAAATACTACATTAATGCATTATATATATAATATTATGGTTAAACCTAACTGATTATAATCAGGGCGATTCTGGTGGTGGTCTGGTTCAGTACACCGACAGCTACCTGACCCGTGCTATAGTGGTTGGCATTCATAGTAAAAGTGATCGAAATAAAGACAAACTCTGTGGCAATAGTACCGGACAGGGCTTCAGTACACCCATACGAGTAAAAAATGTTCTCGCACGGAAAGAAAAAATGAATAAGAAACTGGTTAAAAAACTAGTTTTAAAATGATATTTTATTTTTAAAAATATTTTTATTTAAAATAATATTAAATTCATGTTAATGTTAAAGTACAATATAGTGAATGATGTTGCTGCCCTCCCTTCTTATGATCTTAGCCAAGAGTTTTTAAAAACCCATTATCTCCCAGAAGGTAAATTTAATTCACTTTGTAATAAAAATTTTTATTCATAAAAATATTTATATAATCTATTTAGAGCCACCAAATAAGGTTCCCCGTAACAACTAATACTTTATTTATATAACAATTTAAATATTAAAATTAATTTCTAAAATTGCTTAATATTAATTGTTCAAAATGTTTAAAAATGTAAACTTCATTAATAATTGTTTTCCATAAATAAATAAACTATTTGAATAAATAAACTATCAATATTTCACGATTTCAGGCTTTAATTTGGTATATAACATGTCAAGGTGCTATTTATATTTAATTTATTTAAGTTTTAAATCGTTCCCAATTAATTCTGATCACTCTGTATTGTACTTTAACATTAACATGAATTTAATATTATTATAAATAAAAATATTTTTAAAAATAAAATATCACTTTAAAACTAGTTTTTTAACCAGTTTCTTATTCATTTTTTCTTTCCGTGCGAGAACATTTTTTACTCGTATGGGTGCACTGAAGCCCTGGTACCGGATATGAGGCCAATGTCTCGTTTCATATTAAATGGATTTTAGAGACCATTGAAAATAATACTCAAATCACATAAAATTATATAACAATAATATTTAGTACATTTTATTTAATAATTTCAATATGTATATCGCTTAGATACACATTTACTGTATTTTCTTAATGTGTTTATGGAGTTATATATTAATATTTTGTAATAAACCATAACTTATAAATTATAATTTATAAACGATGTGTTAAAGTGTAAAATGTTTAAAGTTTGACTTTAAAAATTCAATTAAAACCACTTAATAATTACAAACATAAAAACAAAATTAGATAGACAACAAAAATGAATCAAGATAAATATAAAAAATAACATAAAATAAGACATTTATCAAGGATAACTAATTATAAGTTTGCTGTGATAATGACTTCCCGCGACAATAATAGTCGTTGAATTCAATGTTTAGATTAAATTAATGTCTTGAAATGATTTTGAAAATTTAAAAATAGCCTAACGAGTTGTATTAACATGTTCATTTAACATGTAATTTCAATGATAATGTAAAAAATATTTCTTAAATATTTCCAAATGGTTGATAAAATTAAACCATTTATTGGAATCCATTGTCTAATTATAAATATTTATTTAATATCAAGTAATTACAATTTAGATACATTTTATAATAATTTTTATTTGTATGAAAAACTAATAACTAATGTTTCAAACCCATAGCAATCGATGGACTGTTTGTAAAAGTAGGCGATTATCATAATCATAGCAAATATGGTATTAATTCACAAGATTGTGGTCTAATGTCTGCGCCCATAATAATGGACATAACATAAATTAAATTAAGATTTTATATGTAAGTGAAATGTTTTGAAAAGTTAAAATTAAACTGTATTTCATATAGATTTTTGAAAAATGTTTTGACTACCAGTTAGCCATTTTACCTTTTTGCAATAGTGATTGCATTTAAGTTATATGATATGACTGCTGTAAATTCATAGTCAAGTAAAATGCTATGATACATATCTTGGATTAAAATATTTTGCTGATTAATTAATAATTATATTATATAAAATAATATTATTTATTAAAATAATTGTAAAACTAAAAAATATTCATAAATAAACTATAATCAAAGTATAATCAGTGTTCAAAAATACAATTTTATTGGTTTTAAATTATAACATTACTATTAATTAAATTTTAAATATTAAAAATTCAATGATATTATAAATGCTAATATAAACATAATTATAAAAGTGATTTAATAATTATAAGAAATAAAATATTAAGTTATTTAAATCAATGTATTCACGTATAATACTATATACTAATTGCTAAATATTCTGATCAATTCACTGGACTTTAGTGATGGTTGAGCTCTGAGTATCCAAAACACAAATATCTCCGGTTTTGAATGCACTACAGGCGCCCTCCACTGCTATCAGACACGGGATACCAAACTCTCTGGCAATGACCGCCCCGTGAGATATGGTTCCACCGATTTCTGTGATAATACCCGACAGTAGAGGGAAGTATGGACTCCAACCGATGTCCGTCGAGTACGTGATCAGTATATCTCCCGGCTATTCAGCAAAACGTTATGACTATTAAATTGGACTTAATTTGCTTTCATAAGTTCATAATTACCTGAATATTGTCGGCTTCAGTGATATCCTCAGAGATACAAACTCTCGCTTTTATGGATCCATTACTAACTGGCGTTCCCTTCATCTGAACCATTCCTGAGCCCAGATTTGGAGGAATAATGCGATCTTCAAACTGTGGACATATTATTAATAAATTAAAATATTATTTAATGAAACGATTCAATAATTGCTACATTTCTTGGCTTCATTTCCGGTCCTTTGATGAACTCATCGAACTTGTATTTATCCATTTTTGGGTAAAGCCTTTTCCGGTGTCTAACTCGAGCCAGAATTAACGGATCTCTGTCTCCATTACAGAGCGCCTCCACTTCGGCGACGGTTAAGTAGAAGAATGATTGGGCGGATGGTATGAGTCCTTCCCTAACCATCTGTTCGGCCAAATACCAGAAGCCTTCTCTCAGTTTGTTATTCAACCAAATCATGAAATATTTGGATATTTCTCGGTATCCGACACCGCGTTGAGTGTACGGAAGGATTAGTTTCTTGAGAAGTAGTCTTTTTATTGGTGTCAATGGAGTCTTGAGTTCTTCAATCAATTGGTCCACAGATTTACCAACTTTTGCCTCCAATTGTTTCTCACTTCCCGATAGCATAGTCTATATAAATATATAAATAATAATTAGATTTAAGTTTTTAATATTTTTAATCACTAAACCGTACTTTAATTGTTTTAATGCAAGGAATGGGGTTCCCTTTCCATGGCTTATACATGGGATCCAATTCCCGATACCCTCTGTGACCGTGTCTTTCAAGAAATTGTTTGAACTTAAGAGACGACTCATCGGTTCCCTTATATAACAATCGCAGCGCCTCCTCATCTGACAATTGGCTGAATGTTTGCTTATCTTTGATAGACTTCGCGATATCTCTCAAACTGTTGGGCACTTCAGCGCTGATCACATCATTACACGAAGAGATCATTTCATTGAGGTCTGCGTCCAGGTCTGCATTATCCTCTAAAAATCACATTAAATTAAATATTTGTATAATTAATTAAATATATGATTAAATGTCTCACTCATAGCCCCCTGAAGGGTAGCCTTAAGAATAGCATTTTTTAAGGCCGAGCCCATAGAGACGGGGCCGTGGTTTTCAAATGCAGTGTTGGATATAATGTGATAGTTATTGAGAATCTCGTTATAGATAGCCTTTGAATTAGAGAATTGTCTCAAAATGGTCACCAAATCGTATTTCTTTTCATCCATAAAAAGACTTTTAGTTTTGAGCAGATTTTTGGGACCAAATAGGAGGGCATTGATCATGAAATAAAATGTCCGCAATTTTGCCACCAATGAAGGGCTCGCTCTCTCCCCACGTTTTACTAGAAAACACTTCAACACGTCTTCATCATCGATGTGATGGCCAAACATCCCTAAAACCATTTGTTGGGCCCGTTTTGACTCGGGGTAGTCCGCAAAGAAGTCCATCTCTCCCTATGAGTAACATTAATACCATTTTTGAATATTGTTTATAACTATGTAATTGGTGAGACTAACATTGGTCAGATTATACATGACTTGATTGTACTGAACGCCCATTGTTTCGACAAACGGATTGTAATCCTCGGCTGAGACACTGCCGTGAGATATACCCTGACGCTAGGCATCGGATGTAGAAATTAATTGAAAGTTTTATGACTATAATGTGTATATTATACCAAAAATAAGCTTTTATTGGACCAAAACCACTGCAACACAATCCAAGAGGAGGCGCCGGGAAACATCTGACCCCAATGGGCCCGGGAGTAGATTTCAAACTCTGTTTGGTGAGGTGTGTCCAACTCATGCATAATCTCGTAGTCGGTGTAAGAGTTGTCTAAATTGGTGACGGGTCTCGACTGAAGCATAAATATTTGGCCCCCGAGTAGACCCCACTCTATATCTCTCGCATTTCCGTAGTGTTTGTGAATCTGAAGACAAATATTGAAATTTATTATTTTATAATTTGTAAAAAATCTAATAAAAACAAACCCGAAGTCCAATATCACCCAAACGTAACAAATCCCGATCACTGACACAACAACTACTTCTGTCGCTGACCTCTTCCTCAACAGTCCCTCCATTTTCTAAGAGTTTTATTAACGTCTTCTTCTGTCCGATCACTTTGGACTTAATTCCTGTGATATGTCTTCGTGTGGACAGAGAGTTGGACTCAATATTAACGGACAGTTTGATTGAATCCGGTTCTGAAGACGCGGACACCACTGACTGTAGGATTGAAAGTAATATTAATCTCAAACTAAATGCTAATAATAGTGATAATAACGACTCACTTCTCCCAACCCATAATTACCGGTAATCTCGAGAAACCTCTCATCACCGGTGATGGGATCACAAGTGAACATAACTCCCGCCGATTGGCAGCCAATCATCTCTTGTATGACGACAGCCATCGGACTATTGATAGGCTGTCCGTAACCTCTCTTATACTCGTAGGCGATGTGCGAGAACTGTGAGGACCAGCACTTCATCACCGATGAGTAGATC